GATGCGGGGCTCGATCCCAGGACCCCGGGATCATGACCTGAGCCGAAGGCAGACGCTTAACGACCGAGCCACCCAGGCGCCCCTGTGTAATCTGATTTTTGTCTGGACGCGCTTGAGGTAGAAGAGGCACAGGGTGTGTTACTAGCCATGCTTTATTTTGTCTGTGGCTACTAGTTAGCACTCTCTATAGGTTGCATATTTTAAATTATTTTCATGTTTTGTATGCACGGATGTATTTTTTGCCGTTTAAGGATGGCTTCTGCTTTTATTTAATGACTTGTGTGATCTCAAGCTTTGGAAAGATTATAGGACCTTTACATTACAGAAATTTGCAATGTTTGCTTGGCGCGAGGGATCACCACGGAAATTCCCCTAACGCCCTCTGGGTCACACACCTTCCTTTGTGACCCACTAATAAGCTCTGACATTTAGATAAGGTGTTAGGCTTCTTAAGTACTTAGTTACAGTCGTGGTGCTGGCCAGGATTTCTGCAGGAAATTTTCCTACCAAGAACATCTGTCACCAAGTGTTCCCTGCCTGTAGTATGGAGGTTATTTTTGGACTCTTAATCCACAGACTACAAGACTTCCAGTTCGCCTTCATCCTAGAGAAGCCACAGCCGTGGACTGTTTCGTTCTCTTGACTGATGTTTGACCATGTGCTGATGTAGCATTTATGGGTTCCTCTGCTTTCCCATTGAAACTATTAACTTCATTTTAATTTTCCTATTTAGACAATGGTGCATGTTTATAAAAGTAAATGGTATGAAACAAAGTAGAATTTGGATGGAAACCACTGCCACAGACCAGGTAAGATCTAGAAAATATAATACATATAAACATGTAGCCATGGGCATTATATTTATGGCTTCTTGCCAAAATAGGCCAAAAATCTAGAAAATTATTCCGCGAAGAAGCCAGCTGCAACCTACCTGGCAGCATCGTGACAACGCAAGGGCAGCTGGAGGACTCCCAGTAGTTTGTAAGGGGTGTGGAATAGGGGAGAACCAAGTAAACTTCTACCAAGTCCCTGAGGAGCTATGTCATCAGGTTTTTTAGGAGCAGTGAAACGGGTGACATTTTCCAGTTTCAACAAAGGAAGCCATTGTTATTTGCTTATCACTTGAGGTTTAGCCGAGGGCATTTTTGTGTGTGTTAATGCAGCAAAGGCATAGCGTTTGTTAAACAGTGTCTTCGATGGAGGCCTCCCGCTTTGGTGCACTCCAGTTACGGAGAGACAGCTGAAAACAGGGCCCTTCCTCAGAGTGCACACTCGATGCCGTTTCACACTGTTCCAGCATCGGGAATGGCATGAGTATCTGCCTGCCTCCAAGGGCGGACGCACTGACATAGTCCAGCTGGGGTGTCTGTTTTAAGTAGCATTCACAGCTGTCACAGGAACCATATTCTAACGCAGTTAGGGGAGAGCATCTTTCTTCCAGCATCAACACACGCATCCACACACACACCCTGACATTCTTAGTAAAAATTCTAATACGTTATGCAGGTATATTTATTAAAAATAATGCTAATATAGTCCTGGGGCACAATGATTCCAAGAGGGTGTTTGCAGCAGATTTCATTATAATTACTTAACAACTAGATAATAAAGGTTTATGTTTTTAACTTACAGAGTCACTAAATAATAGGAAAGGAAAGAGTAGGGCTAATCCAGTAGACTGAAGCTGGTATAAATAGTCCCTAAGCATTGGTTTGGTCGGCAGCCTTGGGCAAAGCTGGTCTCTAAAGGGTTAATCAGGACCCAAAGTGATTTTTGCACTGAGCTCCTCCCGCACCTGCCATGATGCCTAAAGGCATGGGATTCAGAATACAGCAGAACCAAACAGTTTATTAAACTGTTCAAATTGTTAAAAATGATTAAAAGCCAGTTAAAGATTTTCATAAACACTATTCCAAAATGTTTGTTAGTTTTAAAAATGTTACTAGCAATGTGTGCATTCCCCTCATGTTCTTCCCCTCCCTCCCTCCCTCCCTAGCTTTTAAAATAAACTTGAACACCCAGTGTAAAAAACACTTCAGGGAGAACCAGAAGTCAACCATTTGAAAAGAAAGGTGAAGAGGGGAGCAGACGGTGTGTAGCAGATGCTGGTTCTGCTCAAGGGGCTGCTGATGCAGGCTTTGGTGGCTTTATATCCCCCAGTAAGGCATCAGGTGTCGGGACTCTTTCTCATAAACGTCTGGAACTACGCCATACGGCGTCTGTACCATTTTAACTGTCGACTTCCCAAAGAGCTGGCGCTCGTAGTCTATCAGCTGCCTCCAGAAGCCTACGTTGGGCCTGATGACGGGCCTGCGGGCCTTCACCCAGTTGTAGGCCTCCAGCAGGCACACACTGTGGCATTTCATCAGGTAAGCGATGCAGAGAGTGGCCGAGCGGCTCACCCCCGCGGCACAGTGCACCAACGTGGCCCCGTGCTTCCTGCTCACGCTGTGGATCTTGTCGGCCACCGTGTCAAAGTACAGTCCAATGGGGGCATGAGGCATGTCAGCCAGAGGCACTTTAACATATTCAAACTGGGGCCAGTTGAAATTGGGGATCTCGATGGTAGCATTAACAATGCAGGTGATGCCACGAGCCTGCAGGAGGTGCCGGTTGGAGGCCACGCTGCCCCTGCCCAGGAAGAGAGAGGAGGTGATCTGAGCGATGCCTCCTACATCGCCCTCAGAAATCATCCGAGGGGCCATGAGAGTCCGTGGAAGTGTGCTGTGACCTCTGGAGCTCATGAAGATGCCAGCGATCACACTTGCATCGTTGGAAGCAAGACCAGAGGGTTTGGTTTTCCTCCACCAAGGAATCCAAAATTACCGTCTCCTTCCTGAAAAACATAGGTATCAGTCAGTACTTTCAATGCTCCCGATTCTGGATGCATCACAGCCTTCCCTAGTTTTGTAGACTAGGAAGGTGAAAGGATTAGAAATGGTTCATTTTTTCAAGGATGTAGATAAATCCTTTTCTACTGATTAACAGGAAAAGCAGTCAAAGACAACATGTAAAATCCATGTTAAAACTCAGCTCTCTGGTGATTCTATTAAAAAAAGGGGGGGGTGTAAATGGAAATAGTCATCCTATTTTAGAAATAATTCTAAACTCAAACATGCCCAACTGATTCCTGAAAAACAATCTTGCAGGGCCTTGCTCTTTTTGAAGGGGGGGGGGGGGGGTGGTGCTCCCTGGTAATTAGGAAGAAATTAGAAATTTTGATTGCTCCAAGAGCCATGTGCCTTCATATACCTCTTGCCTAGTTCCATAGCTATGATGACTATATTTTCCTAAACCTAATTCTAGACATAGAGATCTTACAAAGATATCAAAGTATAAAAATGATACATTAGGTAATATATTCAAGGAACTGCCTTTATAAACTGAAAAGATAATGAATTCAGAATGAGTTACAGAAAAGCCAAGACATATGGTCACCTTAGCCCTTTATTATTAAAAAAAAAAAAAATAGCTAAGGGGCACCTAGGTAGCTCAGTCAGTTGAGCATCTGACTGTGTGATCTCAGGATTATGAGACTGAGCCCTGCTTCAGGCTGGGTGTGGAGCCTGCTTAAGATTCCCCCTCTACACACCCCCCTCCACATACTCTCACACTCTAAAATACATCATTCAGGGGTGCCTGGGTGGCTCAGTCATTAAGCATCTGCTGTCGGCTCAGGTAGTGATCCCAGAGTCCTGGGATTGAGCCCCGCATCGGGCTCCCTGCTCCGCGGGAAGCCTGCTTCTCCCTCTCCCACTCCCCCTGCTTGTGTTCCCTCTCTCACTGTGTCTCTCTCTGTCAAACAAATAAAATCTTTAAAAAATAAATAAATAAATAAATAAAATACATCATTCATAAATTAATCACTATTCATAAATTAATCACTAAATAGTAACATGCTGTGGCATTTCCATGGCAATAATCCCAGGCACTTTGAAGGCCATGATCTTACATTAGTCTACTGGGTGCCTGGCTGGCTCAGGCAGTAGAGCATGTGACTCTTGATCTCAGGGTCGTGAGTTTGAGCCCCACGTTGCGTGCAGAGATTACTTAATTTTTTAATAAATACATTAGTCTAGGGGCGCCTGGGTGGCTCAGTCGGTTAAGCATCTGCCTTCAACTCGTCATGATCCCAGGGTCCCCTACTCAGCGGGGAGCCTGCTTCTCCCCCTGCCCCTCCCTCCACTCATGTGCACCCTCTCTCTCTCAAAATCTTAAAAAAATACATTAGTCTAAGTTCATGAGCGTTTTAGTTGACCTGACCCTGGGTGTGGTTAAATGAGAACATCACCTTCCTCAGCCAGTTCTCAACTCCAAGACGAATCCCACGGGCTTCAGATGCTTGCTGGAATTAAATTTTAGTTTAATATTTGAAGATCTACCTTCTCTCAGTAGAGTGTTTAAAAGACTTTAATATTATATAATGTCTATATAGGACACCAGTAACAAAAGAAATAGAAAATACTGGTTTCCTGAGATTTTAGATCACTTCCTCACACTACTGTACAGTCTGGGCCTGTGGGAAATGTGCTCCTCCCCACCCAGGGTACCTTAGGGGCCCCTGAAATGATTGCAGTTGGACAAGAACATCCTCAGTGCCACAGACAAAGGTGGTGCCAGAGCCAACTCACTTGTGAGGAATCTGGTTACTCGGCAGTCCTGGGTCAGGATCTGGAGAGTCCTAATTGAGAGTGCTGATCACAGTGGATACAAATCAGATCTGCAGAAAGACAAGGAGGCAACAATGTGGCCAATCAGGAAGTTCAAAAGAATTCCTCCTGGGTTTTATTACTAAACTGGGTTTGACTGGAATAAAACCAGCAAGTGGAAAGCATGCTAACTAAAGAACGTACCAGTAAGAAATAGCAACCGCAGTCTCAGCTTTTTGTTAAGGACATGTAACTCATGATGTAACAACTGTACGTACAGGTTTGGCCGTAACAAAGGCAAATTTTTGAGAGGAAATGTAATAAGGCACTGCTCACGGGGCCTGGGAAAGATGCAGACCAAGCTAGAGCGTCTTCCCTGTGCCCTCGGTCCGCTCAGCGGCTCGGCCAGACGCAGGGAGACCTGCACGAGCGGCGGCTGCTGGGGCCGCAGGGGCCGGACGGCACTCGGAGCCTGCACCTTCTCTTCCACACTGGACCTCTTAGCTGTTCGTTTACTTACGACATGATGAGCACCAATAAGCGCTGTTCCAGTGTGTTCCTCCCCTCCCTGTCCCTCTGCTTTTCCCAGGTAACCATCACAAGTACTTTCACAGCCCTGTTGAGGTGTGACTGACACACCACTTGACCAGGTGTACAACCTGATGAGTTTTGAATTCTGTGCATACACTCCACACACCATGACTCAACATGGTAAATCTCTCCATCACCCCCTCCAGGTTTCCTCATGCTCCTTTAATTCATCCCTCCCTCACCCTCTAGCCCCTGCCAAGCAAGCAATGATGTTCAGTCACTATGTGTACATTTCCTAGACTTTATATAGTGGAATCCTCCTGAAAGGATTTGTTTCTTCGTTTGGCCTGGCTTTCACTCAGCATAATTATTTTGACATTCCTCTATGTTGCTGCATATATCAACAGTTCATCCTTTTCGTTGCTGAGTACTGGTCCATGGCACAGACACATCGTGGTTTAATCACTTACTGATGGAAAGTGGGTTGTTTGTAGTTTGAGGCTATTACAAGTAAAGCTGATGTATAACGTGACGTAAAACATTCATGTGTAGGTATTTGTGTGGACATACGCCTTCCTTTCTCCTGGTTAAACACTCAGGAGCGGAAGGGCTGGATCATAGGACATGTTTGTATTTAACGTTTTTTAAAAGCTTTAAAAATAGTTCTAGCTTGGGGCCTGAGGGGCAGGCGTCTAAGTTAAACACACACGGATGTAAGCATCCACTGCAGTCCTCTCCAGGATGCCAGTATTTCCCAGACAGGAGCTTCTCCATGTGTCTGTGCCCTGGTTTTGGTGGCTGCCCGCCAGGGGCCACCCACTGCCTGCCAGCTTGGTGCTCAGCAGGGCTTGCGTTCCTGGGCCCCGTGAGACTAACAAACGAGGAGACCATTCTCACTGGCCACCACCCCCAGGGCACTGGCACAGCCAGCCAACTGGGGAAAAAAAAATACTCTTTTTCTGTGAAAAAGGCTATTGCTTGTCCTGGAGCTTTAGCCTCAAGGGCAGGCTTCTGCCTTGGCACACGCCTGGGGGCCACTGGGCTCACTCCAGGGACCAAAGCCAGGGGACGCCATCTTTGTGCTTTCCCTCTGCCCCACTCCAAGTGTCCAGTATCTCCTGGAAAGGAATTGTACACTTGTCTGGTGTCCTGATTTTTTACTGCTGTCCAGGGGACACCTCTAGATCACTGGGTTCTGCTGGCCAAGGAGACTGACACTTGCAGTCCCACAGGACTATGTTTATCTGCATATATTAAAAGCTGCTGAGTGACATCCTCCCCTTTAGAACACTGACAGGTCTTGTCACACAAGCAATGACTGGGAGCCACTAAAAATAAATAGGCTGCTGGGACAATCACAAACGTCTGAGAGAAAACCAAAAAGAAGGCTGTACTGAATACTAAGTTTCATCGCCTATACGAGGCCACTCCTTTCAAGCCTGGGAGAGGTGGCTGTTTTATCAAATGCAGAATCGAGGAAAATGAAGAAACAGAAAAATATGTTCCAAATGAAAGAACAAGATAAAATCTCAGAAAAAGTCCTTAATGGAGATAAGTGATTTACCTGAGAAAAGAGTTCAAAATAATGGTCAGAAAGATGCTCACTGAACTGGGGAGAAGAGTGACCATAGAGCTTCAACAGATAGAAAATGTAAGAAAGTACCAAAGAGAAATCATAGAGCTGAAGAACACACTAACTGAACTGAAAAATAAACCAGAGGGTTTCAATGGGAGAACTACCTGATACAATCAAGCAGCAAAAGAATGAACAAAGTGAAGACAGCTTAAGGTATTTATGGGACAACATCAAGTGGACCAACATTCACATTACAGAGGTCCCAGAAGGAGAAGAAAAAGGAGCACAAAACTTATGTGGAAAAATAATGGCTGAAAGCTTCCCTAACCTGGCTGGCAAAGGAAAGAGACATCCAGATCGAGGAAGCTCAGAGAAGTCCAAATAAGATGAACCTAAAGGGACACACACTAAGACACATTATAATTAAGCTGTTAAAATGTTAAAAGACAAGGAGAGAATCTTAAAAGCAGCAAAAGAACTTGTTACATACAAGGGAACCCCCCCCCCCCATAAGACGATCAGATTTTTCAGCAGCAACTTTGCAGGCCAGCAGAGAGGGGCACAACTGATTCAAGGCAGTGATAGAAAACACTTCCAAGAATACTCTACCCAGCAAAGCTGTCATACAGGAGTGAAGGAGAGAAAGAGTTTCGAACTACAGGAGTTCATCACCACTAAACTGGCCTTACAAGAAATGTTAAAGGGACTTCTTTAGGCTGAAAAGAAAGGGTGCTAATTCATAACAGGAAAACACATAAAAGTACAAATCTCACTGGTGAAGGTAGATATAGTAAAATTTAGAATAATATAAAGGTGGTAGATTAGTCACTTATTTATAAAGCTACTATGGGGACGCCTGGGTGGCCCAGTTGGTTAAGCAGCTGCCTTCGGCTCAGGTCATGATCCCAGGGTCCTGGGATCGAGTCCCAAATGGAGCTCCCTGCTCAGTGGGGAGCCTGCTTCTCCCTCAGTCTCTGCCCCTCCCCCTGCTTGTGTGTGCGCGCTCTGACACATAAAATCTTAAAAAAAAAAAAAAAAAAGCTACTATGAAGGTTAAAAGACAGAAGTAGTAAAAATAACTATAACCGCAATAACTAGTAAAGGGATATACCAGATAAAAAGATGTAAAATGGGATATCAAAGGGGCACGTGGGTGGTTCAGCTGGTTAAGTGTCTGACTCTTGGTTTCACCTCAGGTCCTGATCTCAGGGTTGTGAAACAGAGCCCTGAGTCAGGCTCCACACTCAGTGGGGAGTCTGCTTCCCCTCTCCCCCTCCCCACACTCACAAGTGCACTCTCTAAAATAAACCTTTAAAAAGTAATTTAATGGGGCGCTTGGATGGCTCAGTCAGTTAAGCCTCTGCCTTTGGTTCAGGTCATGATTCCAGGGTCCTGGGATTGAGCCCTGCATCAGGCTCTCTGCTCAGCGGAGAGCCTGCTTCTCCCTCTGCCTCTGCCCTCCCCCCACCCCACTGCTCGTGTTTGTTCGCTCGCTCGCTCTCAGATAAATAAAATGTGACATCAAAAATATAAAATTGGGGGTGTGTGTAAAAGTGTAGAGTTTTAGAATGTATTCAAAGTTGAATTATCAACTTAAAGTAGACTCTTATAAGTTGTTATATGTAAGCCTCATGGTAACCACAAAGCAAAAGCCTATGGTAGGTACACAGAAGATAAAGGAATCTAAGCATACCACAAAATCATCAAATCACAAAGGGAGCAAGAGAAGAAAGTAACAGGAATTACAAAACAGCCAGAAAACAATGAACAAAATGGCAATATGAAAAAAGACCCATCTATATGTTGCCTACAAGAGACTCACTTCAGATGTAAGGACACATGCAAACTGAAAGTGAAGGGATAGAAAAATACATTACATGTAAATGGGAACCAAAAGAAAGCCAGAGTAACTATATTTACATCAGACAAAAAAGACTTTTAAAACAAAGACTAATAAGAGACAAAAAAGGCATGACATAATGATAAAGGGGTCAATTCAACAAAAGGATATAACATTTGTAAATAATCATGTGCCAAGCAGGGGCGCCTGACTGGCTCAGTCAGTGGGGTGTGTGACTCTTGATCTCAGGGTTGTGAGCTTGAGCCCCACCTTGGTGTAGAGATTACTTAAAAAATATTCTTTTAGGGCGCCTGGGTGGCTCAGATGGTTAAGCATCTGCCTTCGGCTCAGGTCATGATCCCAGGGTCCTGGGATTGAGTCCCACATCCGGCTCCCTGCTCAGTAGGGAGCCTGCTTCTCTCTCTGCCTCTCTCTCACTCTGTCTTTTATGAATAAATAAATAAAATCTTAAAAAAATATATTCTTTTAAAAATAATGCACCCAACATAGGAGCACCTAAATATATAAAGGAATATTAACCTTAAAGGAAGAAACAGACAGTAATACAATAATAACAGGGGACTTTAACAATCCACTTTCATTAATGGATAAATCATCCAAGTCAGAAAATCAGTAAGGAAACATTGGTTTTAAACAACACCTTAGACCAGATGGACTTAACATATACAAAACATTCCATCTAGAAGAGAATACAGGGCGCCTGGGTGGCTCAGTTGGTTGGGCGACTGCCTTCGGCTCGGGTCATGATCCTGGAGTCCCGGGATCGAGTCCCGCATCGGGCTCCCTGCTCAGCAGGGAGTCTGCTTCTCCCTCTGACCCTCCTCCCTCTCATGCTCTCTGTCTCTCATTCTCTCTCTCTCAAATAAATAAATAGAATCTTTAAAAAAAAAAAAAAAAATAGAAGAGAATACATATTCTCAAGAGTACATGGAACATTCTCCAGGATAGATTATAAGGCTACAAAACAAGTCTTAATAAATTTAAGAAGACGCAAGTGATATCTAGCATCTTTTCCAACCATAGTGGTATGAAACCAGAAATCAATTACAGGAAGAAAACTGGAAAATTAACAAATATGTGGAGATTAAACAACATGCTACTGA